CTTGAGCCCAGGAGTTGGAGGTTGCTATGAGCTGTGATGCCACAGCACTCTACCCAGGGGGATAGCTTGAGGCTCTGTCTCAAAAAAAAAAACAAAAACAAAGTTGGAGGACTTCTTTAATTTGGTTTCAAGATTTACTATTAAGTATAAAGCTGTGGTACTCAAGACTATGATATTAAGGTACAAGTGAATCTTTCTAAAAATAGAGTATAAATGTCTTAACACAATAAGTAAGTGTCATGAAGTCTGTGTTAACCAGTTTGATGAAAATATTTCAAATTGTATATGAAAACACTACACTGTACCCCATGATTGCATTAATGTACACAGCTATCATTTAAAAAAAAAATTTAAAAAAGACTATGATGTTGAAGAAGGCTAGACATCAGCAAGTGAATGGATAAACCAAGTGTGGTGTAGTCATACAGTGGGTTATTACTCAGCAATAAAGTTGACATGGGAAAATCTCAAAAAATATTGCTGAGTAGAAGAAGCCAAACACAAAAGAGTATATATTGTATGGATAGGTAGTTCACTGGGAAGAAGGGGAAATTGCCTGAAAAGGCACATGAGGAAACCATTTGGGATGATAAAAATTTTCAATGTCTTGATTGAGGTGGTAGTTAAGGAAATATCATTTATCAAAGCTCATCTAACTACACACTTAAATGGGGACTATTTTTTTTTCTTTTCTTTCCTTCATTTTTGAGACAGAGCCTCAAGCTGTCACCCTGGGTAGAGTGCCATGACATCACAGCTCACAGCAGCCTCCAACTCCCGGGCTCAAGCGATTTTCCTGCCTCTGCCTTCCAAGTAGCTAGGGCTACAGGCGCCTGCCACAACACCCAGCTATTTTTTTTTGGTTCAGCAATTGTTGTTTGGTGTGCCGGGGCTGGATTTGAACCTGCCAGCTCAGGTGTATGTGGCTGGCGCCTTGGCCACTTGAGCCACAGGCGCCGAGCCAAGTGGACTATTTTTTAAAATTTTGTTTTGATGTAAAAATTGTTACATCTTAGTATATGTTAATTATACCTCTATAAGTTAATTTTAAGGGGAAAAAAATCTCCCCCTAAACAACAACATAATGAACTTGCAAAAGACATAAAACAAAGGCAAGAGCTAAGAAGGCTTACCTACAAAGGAAAACAGACACCAGTTGCTCAATGGTGACATTAGAAATGAGAAGCTTTGTCTTCGGAATGCTGAAAGATGCCCGTTAGTGGGTTCTTAATCAGAGCAAGGGTAGCAGAGTTCTGGCCACACTGCTCACCTGACCTTCTGTGTTGTGGCCACATGCCAGAGTGGGTGTTTCCACATGCATGATCTCATTTTGTCTTCATAATAGCCCTGTGAGGATTACAGACTTTTTACAGACAAAAGAACAGAGGTAGAGTTGTCTCCATATGGTAAAGCATGGGTTTCACTGGAGAGTGTTTCCATCTAACATGTGATATGACAACCTTGTCTGACCTGGGAAGACCTGGCCTCAGGACTCACAGCCAGTCCTCCTATGTCAAATGTCTTCACTGGCTGTCCGTCCCCACTTGGAACTGCAGAGGCTTAGGAGGCTGGATGGAGTCACTGACAGGTCAAGTTCAGGAAACTTTTCTCTCATAATGTCTGAGACATTATCATCCCCGTTCCAGCCCCACCCAGGGTTCGTGTCTATACGTTGCCTCATGTATCTTTGCTATCACCTGTTAAGTACTGTCCCCATTTGTGGAAGAGGAAACTGGACACAGTGATGTACTGCCTCACACACAGCCAAGCCAGAAAGCAAAGTACTATCTCTCTTAAGTCAGGAGCCTACCCCCTCTACCCATGTCATATTTCTTATTCATAAGAGGGCATTACCAGCCCAAACTAAAGGAAATAAATGGCCCCTCTGCCCAGGTCTTCTGAACTGCCAGAAGACAACTGGATCACATAAGGACACCTGTACAATCTTTCCCTAAGGTCTCTGGAAGGACATGTAGGTGCCAGTGAGGAAGAATGCACGGGTCACCAGCAAGCTGAGAACGTGAGTCTGCAGGTGAGCTGCAGCACACCTGGTGGTGCTGGAAGATGGTCATGCTTCCACTTAGGTATCCCTTGTGCCTTTGTGCAGCAGATGCCTACTGTTGCCACCAAAGGACAGATGCTTGGCTTAAAGCTATAGGGAACACACCAATGACTAAAACTGTCCCCATGGTAAGGGTGGAGACTTTGGGTATGAGCCATTCCAGTTCTCTGTGGGGAAAGCGTACTGGTGTAGAACACACCTAGGTTTCTGTTTCCCCTTGCTCTGGACTGCAAACTTCTTGAAGGTTTTCTTTCTTATTTTTTTTTTTTTAGCAGTTTTTGGCTGGGGCTGGGTTTGAACCCTCCACCTCCAGCATATGGGGCTGGTGCCCTACTCCTTGAGCCACAGGCGCCACCCTGCAAACTTCTTGAGAGGGAAGATCACATCCAGTTGTTCCTGTCTCCAGTGCCTAGTAAGAAGACTGGCAGAGTAGGCACTCAGTGATGGGACCTATGTATGTTAGAGTTTCAGTGACTGACGAGGTGATGCCATTGAACAGTTAAACTACTGTGGGGATGTGAAGCACTGTGTCCTGCCAGGCCGTGGGGACAAGCACCTACCTGAGGGCAGTCATTACACACATACTGGTCCCCTCACCACCTGGTCTTCATATTTTTATTCTAAACACAGGAAGGAGCTCATCAGGCATCTTTGTGTCTGTGCTTCCAATTTGGTCCATTGACTTAATTTTACAACATTTTTATTATAAAAAATACTTCTTTGTACACTGCAGTTTTCACTGATATTCATTCTTCTTTGTTGCTATCTAGTTTTCAATTGTTTTTCTTTCTTTTTTATGAGACATAGTCTCACTTTGTTGCCTTTGGTAGAATGTCATGGCATCATAGCTCACGACAACCTCAAACTTTTGGGCTCAAAGAGATTTTCTTGCCTCAGCCTCCTTGGTAGCTGGGACTACAGGCACCTGTCACGATACATAGCTATTTTTTAGACAGGATCTTGCTCTTCATCAGGCTGGGATTTTCATTATTTATTTATTTATTTATTTCTAGAGACAGAGTCTCACTGTGTCACCCTGAGTAGAGTGCTGTAGTGTCACAGCTCACAGCAACCTCCAGTTCTTGGGCTTAGGCGATTCTCTTGCCTCAGCCTCTGAGTAGCTGACACTACAGGCGCCTGCCACAACCCCCAGCTGTTTTTTTTGTTGCAATTTGGCTGGGACCAGGTTAAAACCTGCCACCCTTAGTATATGGGGCTGGCGCCCTACTCACTGAGCCATAGGCACTGCCCAGGATTTTTATTTTTTAAAAGCATTTACAAAATACGGTGGATATGCCCATATTGATTCCTTAGTATAGGGCATTTAGATTGTTCCCATGCTTTTGCTTTTACGAATAATGTTTGCTATTAATGGCACTGAGACTAGCCTCTCTGTGCCTTTTCTGTGTGTAGAGTCACTGAGTCACAAAGCACAGACTTTTATGGGGTTCTTGACAAGTTGTGCCCTCCTGCCTTCCCAAGGCCTGTGCCAATAAGCCCCATCCCCATTGGCATCCTAGGATTGTGTTCCCACACCTTCTAGGCAGATGCCTTTGCTGGAGTCAAGGTAGACCTGTGTCTTAAGAGCCTCAGACCTAAGAGTCGGTCTGGGAATTTTCAATAAAACTGCCTCTTTCCAACTCTAAGAATCAACTTTCCCAATCCTATAGGAAAAAGCACAGCCCTCACAGAGTCGCTGGGTGAAGTATCTGGAAAAGGACTCCCAAGAACCGGAGCTGGGAGGAGTATACTTTGACAAGCAGCTCTCATCCAGAATAGGGGGGCCAGCTCGGCCCTTCAGTCAAGACCTGCCTAGAAAAAGGTGCCAAGCATGTCTTTTGTCCATCCCTGGTCCAGCACCCATGCTGCCCCTGCAGTGGGGACTGATAAGCCACTGCAGCCATCAGCCAAGTGGGGGAAGCTTGGTATCAGTAGGCAGTATAACTAGGACAACTACTATCACTGCCAGCCCCTTGGCCAGGATGCCAGCATAGGTACCCTTTACCATTCCCACATAATCCCAACTGTCTCAGACTGTACCGTCCCGAGGGAAGAATTTATTTTAAGGGCAGGGCTGAAAAATGAAGCTTGACCAGAGTAGCCAATGCAGCTGGGAACTTTCAGCCTAGAGAACCAAAGACCTCACTTTGTGGAAAGTTCTGCTCCAGGCTTCCTCTGTGCATTTCAGTCAGTTTTCTGGAAAGATTGCCTTAGGCTGAGTATCCCATATTCTTCAAAGGGGCAGAGGCTTTGGGGAAGCAGATTCTGATTTCAACTAAGAACTTTGTAACAACTACGTGCTGTAGAGCCCAGAAATAGCCAGGGCTGTAGTTGGACAGTGGGAGCTGCCGCCTGGGAAGCTAGAGGAATGAGAAGGCTATGCCTGGGCTGTTGGACCAGGTGACCATGGAAACAGTCTCTTGGGGCACCATTTGATGACAGGACTGGACTATTGACAGCATTGTCCCTCTGCTAGGAAATGGAGCCAGAGCACAGTTCAACTTCCAGGCAGCTTTGATGCCCAGGACTCAGAAGACTCTGAGGTCACTTTGGAACCCCAGAAGGTCAGTGGTGCAGGACAGTGTTTCTCTGTAGTCCAGTGACCACTGAGCATCCATGGGATTTTTTTATTGTCTTATTTTGTTAACATTTGAAATGTAAGATTTATACTGCCCCAAAGTCCAACTTCCTGCCTGGAGTTATCTTTTTTTTCTGCAGCCACCTTCCCTCTCTATTCTGTACCCTGTTTCCCTCCTCTCTGTGATGTTAACTCAGGACCAGAGGGTGCTCTGACCCTTGGAGTCCAACAGAGGTTGGCAACAGGGATTCTTTGAGTCAGGAGTGGGACACTTTTGTCCAATGGTGGTCAGAGGGCCTGCTCTGGATTTCTGGAAAGTTCTTCCCTCTGCATCTTCAATCTTCAGGTGTGAACTCATGCATGTGAGACCCTTCATCATCACTTGGGATTTTTTTTCTTTTTTGAGACAGAGTCTCATTCTGTTAGTCTGGGTAAAGTGCCATGGCATGATAGCTCACAGCAACTCTCCCACTCCTGGGTTCCAGCGATCCTCTGGGCCTCAGCCTCCTGAGTAGCTGATCCCGACCTGCTAGCCTGTGGACCAGCAAGTAGTGAGCTTCAAGCATAAGATAAGATAGCCCCAGGGCAGCAGGCCTGCTGGGCCCTGGCACTTAAAGATTTCTTATTAATGGTAGGATAGCCATCTTCTCCATTGCTATTTCAGGGCTCCAGTAGCCTTATCGGGGATGTGAGACAAGACAACCACTGCCTCCAGAATTCTGCAGACTACAGCTCCAGGGAACTTGGTGGTCCCCTGCAGGAACTACAGAGTCCTACCCAGCAGCTCAAATCCACACCTTCTAAATGGGCACAATTTCTCCTGTCAACTGGGGACAGCTCACATGTGGACATAGAGCCACATAGACCACTACAGAGGGGCACTAGGTCAGCTGGTTCAGTACAGGCTGACCAAGGGACCTGCAGGGCCCAGATCCCAAGGGAAGGCCACCTCAGCAGGCCCACCACCCCTGTCCAGCTTCCTGAGTCCACACACACTACTTCTGGATCTAAGAGACCCTGTTGGAAGGCTTCTGAGCAGTTGTGGGACATGGGGACTCCTTGGGCAGAGAGCAGGTCCTTGGCCAAAGGGGTACAAAAGCCCCCACCCATGCGACTATGTGATCTTTTTACAACAGGGGAGGACTTTGATCTTTGAGCCAAGACTTGCATGTTACTAATTTAGGTACACTCCTTACACCAGCCCCTTTCCACTGGACTCTAGGTGCTTTTTAAGGATTGTAATGTATGAGAAGGACCAACAATAAACATTACTGTGAAACAAATCATTTCTCTGGTTGCAACTGACAATAAGGACAATATTGTTATTTAAAGTGCTGATACATTTAATTATAGATTGTTTACAAATATAACAGGATGGCCACAAAGGCATCTTCTCACATTAAAAGCTGCTGAACTTGTTTAGAAATGAGAACTGAACTACAGTGATTAGGAGAGAAGGGACAGCCCTTGGTAAATGTCACACTGCCAACCTCCCTTCATGAGCCCTTCCTGGTTCCCAGTGACGAGCCCATAGTGCTGGCTGCCCCCATTGTCCCAGTTCTCTAGGCTCCCTGACAGCTCATTACCTGTACCTTATCTAAAATCAGAATATTTCAGGTTCCTAGCAGAAAATCAACTGTCAAAGTACTATTAGTTATTTAAAAAAAAAAAAAAATCAGAAAGGCATTAAGCAAGACTTATTCTGTGCTGCTGGTGTGACCCCAGCAGAGGAGAGGCCAGAACACACTATAGTGAGCCTCAGTAGCCTCTTGCAAGGATGAGGGCCAGGGCCCATGCTGCCCTGGGAAGCTGCAAGGAGCCAGGGCCCTTAGGGAGACCGGGCTAGTTTCTCAGATATCAGCACACACTCTTGACTCTCCCCTCCTGTCACTTGTTCTGCTACCAGAATGGCTTCATGCACCCCCCCCCCCAATTCTACAAGAAAAAGGCAGAGAAACTGGCTTGTGCAGAGAGGCCTGCATCCTACACTAGCTCAACACAACTATGAGACAAAAAGAGGAGGACACAGAGAGGTGGGCAGAGGTGGTCACAATGGCGGTGGGTGCTTTGAATACTGGATGGTGTCCAGAGCAGCCCCGATGTCATAATTCTTGGTCTGGAGAAGCCTGGTGAGCCAGCCGCCTTCATCAGAGAATCCCATCGACAGCATCTGGGACAGGGACTCGATCAGCCTTGGGTCAGCCTCTGCCAGAAACAGTAAGAAGCCATGAGCAAGGATCACTGAGTCCCATGTGCAACAACCCAAGGACAGACAGTGGCATCCCAGCTTTAGCCAGGAAGTACCTGTGGCCTACTGGGGGATCTCAAGCCCTTCTAGAAGTCGTCAGGAGGCAGTAGCTGACAAGCATTCTCTATAAAAAAGGCCAGACTCTAATTGTTTCTAGCTGGCTGTGCCACAACTACTCAGGCTGTGCCTAAACTACTTTGGTGTGACTCTGCCACTGTCACACCAAAGTGGCCAGACAGCATGGAACAAATGCTTGTAGCTGTGTTCCAATAAAACTTTATTCATGGGCAGTAAAATCTGAATTTCTTTTTTTGTTGTTGTTGCAATTTGGCTGGGGCTGGGTTTGAACCCACCACCCTCAGTATATGGGGCCAGCACCCTACTCACTGAGCCACAGGCACCTGAAATCTGAATTTCATCTAACTGTTGCATGTCCTTTAGAAAATGCAAGAATCATTCTTGGCCCATAGGCTACAGTGTGCCCACTGCTCTGAGGCAGAGAAGATACACACTACTGGCAGTCCAAAGGTTGACTCACAGGTTATTCCACACATTTTTTTTTTGGAGACAGAGTCTTATTATGTCATCCTTGGTAGAGTGCTGTGGTGTCATAGCTCACAGAAACCTCAAACTCTTGGGCTAAAGCGATTCTCTTGCCTCAGCCAGGATCCTGAGTAGCTGGGACTATAGGCTCCCACCATAGCACCTAGCTATTTTTTAGAGACAAAAGCTATTTTTTAGAGACAGGGGTCTCACTCTAGTTGAGGGTGGTCTTAAACTTGTGATCTCTGGTGATCCGCCAGCCTCAGCCTCCCAGAGTGCTGGGATTAAAGCCACCACGCCTGGCCTGTTTTATGTGTCACTGCCACATGATAATAGGAACCTAAACCAGTATCAGCTATCTTTTATTCAGGATGATACTCTGGCTGCCAGTCTCCTCCCCAATATGCTGCTTTCCAAACTGCCCCATTCACATGGTGGCTTCCTGCCTGGCTCCTACAGGGATCTTAGCCATGAACCCTGCTCTAAGGGCAGCCCTCTAGATGCAGAAAATGAAGATGGTCTGTGTCCTTTGTCCCAGTAACACAAGCCAGTGCTAGTGCCTAGTCACACCTGCCTTCTCCATTCTTGGTCCAGTGTTAAGCCTTAGAAATTACTGAAAGTAACTGGGCTCACTTCCTATTGCTCAGTATAAACTAAAGGACAAAGCACGGCCTGATCTTGTCTGCATCTACAGACAAGCTCCACAGAGAACACCCCATCTTTTGGTCTATGTTGCTGAAATCAGAAGGTGACAGGATGCTCAGAAAGAGAAAGGAAAGAATACAAAACCTTCTTCACTTGCCTGGTGGAAGATGTGGGTACAGCGCAGCTTCCTTCAGCCCTGTGGGTCCTTCCTGAGAAGGGTCCAAAGAGCTTGGCCCTTCAGAGTCTGGCATCTGTAGAGACTGGAGTTCACCTGTCGATGGGTCCACTTCTTTTGAAGACAAATGGGTCCAGTCATCATCTCCTCCGGAACAGTTATCAGATTCCATCTGTTCCTGAAACAAAACTCACCATGAACACACAAGGGACATAAGCAGCAGGCCAGCCTGACCAACACAGTACCAGTTCCCGGAAGGGTCCATGTGTCTGTGTGTATGTGTGTGTGTGTGTGTGTGCACTTGTGCCTGTAGGCAGAGCTGGCAAGGAGCTACAGGCAACAGTGAGCCACTCGCAAAAACCAAGTGTACATGCGTAGTTTTCTTTACAAAGTTCTGGCAAAAAGTTCAGAGTGACTTAAATGCCACAACGTGAGTCTGCAACAGGACCAGAGTCCTTTGGGCTGCATAGTGATGGTGATGAGGCAGCACCTTACAGGGGCTGCATAGGTGTGGGATGGAAAGCACTAGGGGCAGTGGCAGGAGGGTACGGGCTTGCCTCTGGCTGCCCCACAGACTCCAGGGTGATCTTTTTCATTTGCTCTGTCAGAGACTGCTCGGTGCCTTCGATGTTCCCTTCTGGCTTGCTAGGGTCAGAAGAGCAGCTGCTTGGCTGAGAGCTACTCTTCTCTTCTGTGCTGGAACTCTCGGTAGAAACAGGCATCAGGCGGCTTCTTTTCCCTCCATGTTCCACGTCAATATCAACTTCGATGCCTACAGGCCAGGGAGGAAACGGAAAACTATGATGTTCCCCAGAGGATGTGCCTGTAGGTAGGGTCTGCATGTGGGGACTGCAGGCTCATGAAGGTCTCTTGTCCGGTCCCCACAAGCCTGTAAGGGTTAGGAGGTGGTACTCAGCATGTGGACAGACCCTGGGCTATACCACGGAACTTGGCCTAGAGTCAGACAGCCTGCATGGGACCCCCACAACACAAAGCTGTGAAGCAGAAGCTTCACACAAAGTGTAAAGTCCTTTGAGATCTTCAGAATCTCAGGGGCTGAACTGCTTCTCCCAAAATTCTGGCCCCATATCTCCTTAGCTTCTAATGCTCTCCCAATACGTCCACCGTGTTGGGCCTTTCTCTTCCTACAGTTTAGTAAAACATTTACCTCAGCTAATATCCAAGGTCAGTTTCTAAGCCAGGAAGTCCACAGAGACCTTGTTTTCCCTAAACCATGCAGGACCACAGGCTGCATAGTCAGCTGACTGGGCCAAAGAACAGGGTGAGACTACGTGTGGCCAGATGCCTCAGCCACAGTGAAGACCGAGTGCCTCACCATGCTAGCATAGGACCTTTGTGCTATACCCAGTATACATTTTTTTTTTAGTTCAATAGATCTAAGGATACAAGTGGTTTTCTGTTACAGAGATGAATTGCACAGTGAAGTCTAGGCTTTTAGTGTACCCATCACCCAAAGAGTGTACACTGTACCCTATAGGAAAGTTACACACATCGAACACTAGGGTTCTCTGCAGGGAGGCGGGCGGGCCCTGCCAGTGAAGCATGAGACCCCAAGGATGGCAGGACAGGGTGGCCTGTACACCTCTAGGCTCGTACACACTCACCAGAGATGGAGGCTATAATCACCTGCACCATTTTTTTTAAATTTAAATTTACCCAAGGAGTGACACCCACAACTTAGAGCCAGCAGTTCCCAGTGGAGGCTTAGTACACATCCCCAGCCTCCTCACACCTGTGCTGAGCCTGCTGTTGCCCAAGGCTCTAGTTCACATTTGTTTGTTTCTCTAGACCAGTATCTACCACCCTTCCCCATTGGTGTTTATGTTAGTAGCAGTTCATAAATATTATTCTTTGCTGGGCCAAGCAGTAGACATGATTATGTCCTTGTACAGATTTTTGTTTTCCTCTACTAACAATGCCCTCTTTTTTTCATTTGCTAACTTTCCCCATTTTCTAGTAGCATCTCTATGGTTTTATATAAGGGCGAAGCAGATCAGAGGCCAAATGGTTCTGGTATTTTCCCTGAAGAGTGCCCCACAGCCCATAGCCTCCTGCTCTAGCCAAGGCTGCCAGCACTCTGGGCAGGGGCCTGGCTGCGCAGCGGAGACAGCCTTTTCTCTCCAGACTCCTTTTTCCTCTCTCCTGTTAGGTTCCCTGTTTCCTGATACCTTTGTTCTCAATTCTGGGTTTGTTCATTTAGTTCATACCACAGTTAACATCTTGCTTTCATACATGATCATTTCAGCTGAGTACAGAATTCTACACTGAAAAACCTTTTAACTGACTTTGGAAGTCACTAGCTTCTCAAGTTTGCTCTTTGTTATTCCCAAATGTTTAATTAAGTGCCCTAAAGAGCTTTACGAGCCCCTCCTCATATGCAAGGTTCTGACATTTGACAACCACAAGCTTTGCTGTGGGGTCTTTCTCAGTCATCATCCTAGGGCCCCTTTCAATTTACAGATTAAGGTCCTTAGTGCCAAAAAACTGCCTTGTATTCTGTGTTCATATCTTCCTTTCCGTTTTCATCCCATATTGGGCTTCTAAGATTGATCTTTTATAATAATTTTCTCATCTTTTCTCTCCTATATATATATATATATTTTTTTTTTTTTTTTGCTTTTGGAATATTTTCTTGAGACAGTCTTAGAATCTAAGCCTTCTTTATAAGTTTTTCTTTTCTGGCTCGGCCCATAGCTCAGCGGTTAGGGCACTGGCCACATATACTGGGGCTGCCAAACAATGACAGTTACAACAACAAAATACCGGCTCGGTGCCTGTGGCTCAAGTGGCCAAGGCGCCAGCCACATACACCTAAGCTGGCGGGTTCGAATCCAGCCCTGGCCC